TCTTCCTGATGGATAGACCTATTTATCATTATAAAATGTCCTTTGTCTCTAGTAATTTTTGTCTTAAGGTCTATTTCAGCTGCTATTAGTACAGTCATTGCAGCACTCTTCTAGGTACTGTTCACATGATTTATCCTTTTTATCCTTTTACTTTCAACCTATTTGTGTCTTTGAATCTAAAGTATGTTTCCTGCATGGTTCAAGCCCCACACTAGGTGTGGAGATTATTTAAAAATAAATAAATAAAAATAAATGGTCATTTAAAAAAATAAAAGTAAAGTATGTTTCTTGTAAACAGTGTATAGTTGGATCATCACTGAAATTTTATAAGAAAAAGTTTTCAAGAAATAAGGGGAAAATACATCAAAAAAACATATCCTTTTCTGAAATTGAAGAAAGTATTACAAAGACAAAATATCTAAGAATAGCCATTAAATTTTTGGAAAAAAAAAAATAAGGGAAAACTTATCCCACCAGATACCAAGACAGACTCATTATGAAAATTATTATAACTAATATTAATGGTATTTGACAAAAAGACAAATACATTAGTGAAAAAGTGTATAATACAGAAAAATATCCACATATGTACAGATGTATAATATTAAATCAATGGGGAGAAGATTAATTATTCAATAAAAGGTGTTAGGATAAGTGACTTCCATTAGGAAGAAAACAAAATTAGATTCTCAAAACTAAAATCTAGTCACACTACATGAAACTAAAAATTACTACGAAATGATATCCTACGAAAATATCCTATAAGTAATAATGGGATAGAGGAACTTTTCTAGGTAATACACAAAAACCCATTTTTAAATTTCTGTAGGATCAAAAAAAAAAAAAAAAAGCACCATAAACAGATTTAATGCAAATTTAATTACTGCAACTAAAGCCTGTGGCTTGAGAGATAGCATTAAAAAGTGAATTCACTTCCAGGTCCACCATTTGAAAGTCCCCCATTTAAAAAGTGAAATTTAGGGGCACCTGGGTGGCTCAGTGGGTTAAGGGTCTGTCTTTGGCTCAGGTCATAACAGGGTTCCCTGCTCAGCAAGGAGTCCGCTTCTCCCTCTGTGTCCTCCCACCTCCCATCCCCCACCCCCACCTCCTGCCTGTGCTAGCTCTCTCAGTTACTCTCAAATAAAAAAATAAAAAAAGATTTTGTTTAAGTGAACTTGACTTCTCAAAATATCAGGCTTGAGATTTTAATTTTAAAAATGAAGATAATTCCTACCTCATATTTTAATGTTAAATGAGGATAGCTATAAAAGCATCTAGTATGAAATCTGTTTGCCACATTATAGAAGCTTGTTCTTATTTCAACTTAAGTTGGTATTACATTACATTAAATGAGGAATTACAAGTTACAATCAGGAATAGCAGGATTCCTGTATTTTGGTTCATGATAAATCTACTATATAATTATAATAATACTTTTATAATTATAAAAACTACTTCATAATAAATGAAAACACATTTCCCCACATCCCTCGCCCACTATGTTTGCCATGTAAAAACGGAAGATAAAGTGGCAATACAGCCAGGACCGGCACCCGTTTAAGAGCAAAACATAAACAATACAGATATAGTTAGATAGCTACATCTTATGTCATGTCTTTCATCCATTAAAACCTTTCTCCCCAAAATATCTAAGATTTTTTTCCTAAGTTCTCCAATAAGTATCATATCTGAAACAGAATCTACAAATGAAAAACCTTCAGAATGGTACACGGTAAACACTGTTAAGGATAAAACATAAATGTATATCAGGTAAAGACTGAACTTTTCAAGACTTGTTAATGCCAAAATTTTTATTTTTGAAAACTGCTTAGAGCAAAACTGTTTCACAATTCAGAAAGTGCAAATTAATTCAAGTTTTTGTTTCAAACAAAATATTCACTTCCTGCATGAACCATGGTATGATTAAATAAAGGAAAAGCACAATTTTTTAAAAATTGTATAAAATTCTGAAGACCAACTACATAATTAATTTACAGAGTTCAAACAAATTCAAAGTTCTCCAAAATATGTTGGTCAAAACGGAAAATTCCCACTTAAAAATAAAGAATACTTAGACACATGTACTTTCTTGTAGATTTTTAGATGAATAAGATTTTGACCTTTAGACTGCTTTTTAAAAAATTATAAAGGGAATTTTTAGTTACACAAAATTACACAATGAAATGTGCCTTCCAATCTAAAGACAAAAAAAAGTTCATTGGAATGTAAGAGTAACCATTGGTTTATTCAAATTACTAAAGACAATGTTGCAATAAGCAACATCCTTCTCTCCCTATTTCAACCAATCCCTCTCCTATTTTCCTTATCAACTTACCAGGCAAATTAATGTTTAGAACCTGAACACTGCTGAAATTTTTCTTCAGTAAGATCCACCTTTCTGCATCAATTCTACAGCACCCAAGGCAGTTATACCCCCATGCCAGACTTAAAATGCCTTAAGAATCATTTATAGAGGAAAATAAAAGTAAGAATTAGTATTAAAACAGCACAACAGATCAGAACACTACAAAAATAGTGCAGCTGCCTTGCTATCAAAAAGCAAAAACAGGGAACCTGGGTGTCTCAGTCAGTTAAGTATTTGCAGCAGGCTTCGGGGGCGGGGGAAGTTCCCCCTGCTCAGCAGGGAGCTTCTCCCTCACCCCCCACTCATTTTTTCTCTCTCAAATAAGTAAAATCTTTTTTAAAAAGATTTTTAAAAAAGCAAAACCAAAAACAAGCTCACCCCTCACAAATTTTCTCTTCTAATATGAAAGTTTCAATATATCACTCACAAAATGCAGATACTCTTTTAAAAGTCAAGTTTCTCTTATACATAAAGCATATGGATAAAAGAATTATAAAATATTCTTTTCAAATGCTATACAAACTTACACAGTAATGGGGTTATAGAAAGACTAGAAAAATTAGGAATGTGAGCGATGAGACTTTTATTTCTTGGCATACTTCCATCTATTATAAATCTTATCTAATTCCAAAAATGTATACCAGATATTGGGAGTTCTTTGAATCTTGATTTCTCCTCCCAACTTGCAGCCTACAATAATTGGAAGCAACTGGAATAACTGGAAGCAACTCTTTAAAAAATCTCTAATATTGAATTAAAATAGAATAGATATTATATTCAAGTTTAACAAAGTTCACTATAATATTCCATACAACTTAATCAGTATCTTTCCCTCTTATTTTACATTCAATGATTCCTTTCTTTCAAAAACAAAGACATCACATGGTTTATGAACAACACCAGTGTTACAAGTATTTCCTTATCACTTCCCTCAACTTGATTTTTTTAAAAATCAAACTTAAAATGAAGCAAATTAACAGAAGCCACATTCTCTAGAGGGGAAAATGCTGTGTTACTTCATTAAAAAAACAAACAGCCAAGTCATATAAATAAAAATTCACAAAAAGCAGAATTTTCTGAGGTACACTTTAAAAATTACTTCATTTGCCACAAGTCTGGATTCTAACGTGCAAAGCTGTCCTAAGCAAGTCATGTGTGTCCCCTCGGGGTCCTTTTAATTCACACCCAACACAAAACTTTCAAAAACTAATACCAACAACAGCAATTAAACCAGACGCAGCCTTTTACAACCAACAGTCCTAAGCTCCAAATAAAATTAACACCCTCCTCAAAAAAAAAAAAAAAGAAAGAAAGAAAGAAAGAAAGAGAAAAAGTCAAAATAAAACCAAAAAAAAAAAGTTCTTAAACTTTCTCTTAGAAGTAGGAGTTCCTCGGTTTTACAATTTTTTTCTTGTCAGTGGAAAGAGAATGGGAAATCAGTGATAAGAATGAGAACAGTTAGTTCCCAAGAGAAGGATGCAAGAATTTACAACTCAGGCTTGGCCTAGAGATCAGCAGGCAAAATACACACCAATGCTCAGGGAAAAGCTTTCGAGAAATGTCATTATCTAACGCCAGTCATAAGGCCTTATTTTTTTAAGGCCTAAGGACAGCCCTATACGTGCACCGTACAACACAACCTATCAAAACTATTCTCCAAAAACAATTCAGGAGTTTCCCAAGATGCCCCAAACGTAAAGAGCAAGTCCTCTAGACACCCGCAGGACCGCCTCCTCTCGCAGGGGAGGGAGGCCAACTCCTGCGAATCCGAGGGCCACCACGTCAGTTTCGGTGACAGATCCAACTGGGAGCATCCGACCGTGATCGGCGCCCTCCCGGGCAGACGCTGCAGCAAGAGGAACAGACACGCAACCTTCAGGGCCCTCCTACTTCCGTTCTCAAAACAGAAATGCACAGTTTCTCCTAGTCCTCACCGCTCAGCCCCGTGCCTCTCAGCGGGGAGAGCTCAAGTGGAAAGAAAAGCAGTCTCTGACCAGGGTGGATAGAACGCGCTTGGGTAAAGCACTCCCCCCCGCGACTCCGGGGGCAAACCAACCGCCAGCGCCTCCCTGAGCGCCCCCGCCCCGGGCAGGGGACATGCATGCAGCAGCAGCCCCAGGTCGCCCCACTCCTTCCTCCCCGGAGTAAGGGGAGCGGAAAAGCGCAAAGAGGAACTAAGTGAACTGCAAGAGGGTGCCCTGCAAGCTCCTCAAGGAGGGGGTGGGGTGCGAGTGGAAACGGGAAGGAGCGGAAGGAAGGGGCAAGGAGCAGGCAGAGGAAGGGGACGAGAGCGCGCGCCCGCAAAGGGCACGACTCTCCGGGCACGCGAATGCACCCTGGTTCCTCGAAGCGGACGGGTGCTCCCGGCCTCCCGAGCGCTCCTCCCCGGGCAGAGGGCGAGGAAGCGATAAGAGGACCTCCTCGGCCCAGCCTCAGCCCTCAGCAAGGGTTGGTCAGGGCTGCAGTGCACTGGCCGGGTCCGGAGATGTGACAACGGCCGCTGGCCTCGTCGGAAGACGCGGACCGGCGGGCCCTCCGCGCGCTCAGCGGGCCGGCTTTCACGCCCCTAACCCCCGGGGGTGGGGGGGCGCTCCGGGGTGACGGCGGCCCGGCGCCCGGCGGCCTCGCCGGTTACCTGAAGCGGGGCGAGTCCTTCAGACACTCTTCGAAATCCACCGTCATCTTCATCCTGCCTCCGCCTCGCCTCGAAGGCGGTGCTGGAAGAGCCGAGAGAGCCGCGGGAGCGGCTGCGCTGGGGACCCAGACAGCGACGGCGGGCGCACGGCCGCGACTAGCGCTGCGCGGAGCTGCGGAGGGCGCCTTGCCCGCTGGTCATAGCAGCCGCGAAGACGGTGGCAGCAGCGGCGGCTCGTCAGGCCCCAGTCCTGCCCCTCTTCCTCCCGCCCCCAGCCGAGCGCCGGCCACAGGGAAACCGCCCGGGAGTGACAGCCTCCGCCAGCCAGCCACGAACCCGGCGGCCGGTGGGAGGGGCTTCCGGCAGCACCGCCCGCGGGCGCTCCGGCAACGCACCTGAGCGACGGTAGTTCGAGCCAATGAGCAGCGCGACCGTGGGTGCCGCCTTGCCACAGCCGTCCCCGAGGGCCAACCGGGATGCGCAGGAGTCGTTAGGCGGGACGCGCCCGTTGCTGGGAGGCCGGCAGCTGAGGCTCCTTGGGAAGGAAGTCACGTGGCTGAGCGCCGCGCTTCCCTCGGAGCCCCCGCCTCTTCTCAGCCCCGCCCTGCCGAGCTGCCAACGCGGAGGAGCCGCCGCCTGCAGGTCTGAGGACTCCTACAGCTTTGGCAGAAATCTGAGGAGTAGAAATTATCAAAGGAGGAGATAAACTGATCCACCGCTTCCTTTCCGTTTAAAGAAAATGAGGTCGGGAGAGAAGTGAGGGTAGCCTTAATGATAAAATCCCTTCCTTCACTTACTGACTTCATCTCTTAATAACTTGGAAATCTCTCCCACGTTTATCTTCTCATATAACTAAGAGACTACCTCCTGAAGGAGCTGGTATTTGGGGCGAGCATGCAAAGATCAGGATTCCGAAAGGCAGGCGAAGTAGGGCGTTTGGTGCGGAGGAAACGCTTTCAAACCCGCAGAAAACAGTCCTTACTGATAACTTTTCTCTCAGTAGCTTTCACCGGTTCAAAGAGGATAGGGTTGTGAAAATCAGTCTCACTTCCTTATTTGCAACACCAGCCCACTGGTCCACGTTGTTCTAGGAGCGCTCCAAGATATGCATCACCTGATCCAACAAGGCAGGTATTTACCATACTTCTGATTTTAATATAACATCGACTGTAAAACAACAACAGCAATAGATCCATTTTATTTCAATGGAACCCAACCTAAAAAGCATAAGAATATCCATAAAATGGAAGGAAATGTTGTAACAGTATAGTGGCTCTGAGCGAGAGCCTGAAGGCAAACTCTGGTTTTGCCTCCTATCTTTTCTTACTGTAAAATGAAGCTGATAAGAGTTGCTCTGAAGCTGAAGTAAGAACTCTGAACACAACACAGTGCCACATAGTAACCATTCAGTAAATGCTGGCTATTATCATAATTTACCACTTTATTCTTCAGTGCTATAATCAAAGTTTAAATGTAAGCCTTCTCACTTCTACTGCCTAAAGTCTTATATAAGCATTTTGACCATCTGGCTAAGTGTAACTTGATGGTGGGATGTTTTACATAACCAATGGTTGTATCTTGATCTCTTTAGCACCTTTTAGAAGTTAACAATATAATTTTGAGACATTTCAAAGAATATACAAGCATTATATATGTTTCTTCTTTGGTTATAAACTTGGTTTCTTTGTTTATTTTTTTAAGTTTTTTTTTATTCTAATTAGTTAACATACAGGTCTTATATTGGTTTCAGGTGTACAATATGGTGATTCAGCACTTCCATACGTCACTGTGCTCATCAGGACAAGTGCCCTCCTTAATCCCCATCACCTATTTCACCCATCCCCCCCCAAAAATGATCAGTTTGTTCTCTATAATTAAGAAGCTGTTTCCTGATCTCTCTCTATCTCTCATTTTTTCCCCTTTGCTTATTTTTGTTTCTTAAATTCCACATATGAGTAAACTCATGTGGTAATTGGTTTCTTTTTTAAATTGAATTGCATATCCCTGGAATCTACCCACATTCTTTTGATAACTGGAAACTATTGGCAGTTAAGACTTAAGTATCCTCAGACAGTTCAGTTGGTCAAGCCAACCTCTTCTAGATTTATAACTTCTGTGTGGGACTTGGAGGGTTGGCCATTTCTACATTTAATTGTATTCCTGATGCATGACAGCTAACCTGTATATACAATAACTTGTTTCAATGTTTCAACGTAGTGTAACCTTTTGGAAGAGGCCTAACTTGATGCTTTGGGATTCAAAATTAAAATTTAGCTGCCTGGGACTCCTGGGTGGCTCAGTTGGTTAAGCAGCTGCCTTCGGCTCAGGTCGTGATCCCAGCTTCCTGGGATCGAGTCCCACATCGGGCTCCTTGCTCGTCGGGGAACCTGCTTCTCCCTCTGCCTCTGCCTGCCATTCTGTCTACCTGTGCTCGCTCTCTCTCCCTCTCTCTCTCTGACAAATAAATAAAACTAAAATCTTAAAAAAAAAAAAATTCAGCTGCCTGACACCATCAATGAAAATAACTAAACTAATCGTTAATAATGAACATTTTCTTTCTGCAGAAAGCTAAATTTACGTACATCCAGTTAGTGATAATGCTATCCAAAAAAAATTTTTTTTTGGCGCCTGGGTGGCTCAGTGGGTTAAAGCCTCTGCCTTCAGCTCAGGTCATGATCCCAGAGTCTTGGGATCAAGCCCCCAGAGTCCTGGGATGGAGCCCCGCATTGGGCTCTCTGCTCGGCGGGGATCCTGCTTCCTTCTCTTTCTCTCTGCCTGCCTCTCTGCCTACTTATGAACTCTGTCAAATAAATAATAAAATAATTTTTTTTTTTATTTTTTCTGCCCTGTGGTAAAGCAAGCATTTGGGGTTGTCAACCATAGGGTATGTCCTAAATCTGAAAATACTAGAAGTGGGTTAGGGTGGGAATAGTGAGTCCTAGAAGTATAATACTATTACTCTTAGAGTAATGAAAACCAAGGCCCCAAGGTATAGAAATAACTGGCTGGGTGACAAGCTAAATACAGGTCCCATGTCACCAGACTCTTAACGGCAAACCACCTGCTGTCCCCTTTAGAATTTGGCCTTTATAGGTGTGGCTCTATCTCCCTGTGCAACAGCTCCTTTTCATCCATTTCATTTTAAAGATGCAGCTCAAATGCCACTTCTTTCAGGAAGCCTTCTCAGTTTGCCGAAATACAGACTTCTCTTTTCAACACACAGTGAAAGTTAGTAAAGGATAAAAGTGATGAGACCTTAAATCTCACAAATATCTTTTCCTCCAACTTCCCAGTCCCTTCCTCCAAAACTTCTGGAACCCTGTGTACCCATAGCCCTTCCTTCCCAGAATACTTCTGATTTCCTCTGGGGATACCTTTTTTTTTTTTTTTTAAGATTTTATTCATTTATTTAGCGAGAGAGAGCACGTGCGCATGCGCGTGCACATGTTAAGGAGTGGGCAAAGGGGAAGAGGGAGCAAGAATCCCAACCAGACTCCCAAACTGAGCGCTAAGCCCATCATGGGGCCCGATCTCACAATACTCAGATCATGACTTGAGCCAAAATCAAGAGTGACACACTCAGGGGCACCTGGGTGGCTCAGTGGGTTAAAGCCTCTGCCTTCGGCTCAGGTCATGATCCCAAAGTGCTGGGATTGAGCCCTGCATCATGCTCTCCTCTCAGTGAGGAGTCTGCTTCCTCCTCTCTCTGTCTCTGCCTGTCTCTCTGCCTACTTGTGATCTCTGTCAAATAAAATCTTTAAAAAAAAAAAAAAAAGAGTGACACACTCAAATGACTGAGCCACCCAGCCACCCGCACTCTGAAGATACTTTTAACTGTATATCCTCTTGAGTAGAAGTTTTTCATTACCCTTTCCCTGATCCCCTTGGCCAGGATACATAGTCAGCAAGAATCTAACTCTTGACAACTTACAACTTAACACTCCACCTTCATACAAGAATTTCTTTTGGGGGCCTAATGTCATCTAGCTACACCACTGTCTTATTGACCTCATTGCTGTTCTCTACTTCTCACTCACTTCCTGCCTTAGCCTGGCTCACTGCCTTGCAAATTATGTCAAGAGCCTAGAATTATGATGAAGGTAACTATGGGCAGCTACTGGAACTGGGTAACTGAAGAACCCAGACACCTGTGGGAACTGGTTCCCTTCTCCTGGTGGCTGTATCCTCAATCTTTCTCACCTACTGCCCAATTCTCAGCAGGTGGCCTCTCTGCTCTGTGTGGGTTCTAGTCCCCTGGGAGCCTAGCTGGCATATAATCCCTCATTGCTACTGGTTCCTTCAACAAGCTGGGTGTCGGATGGCTATGGGGGCCCAAGCAGATGATGTAAGTGAATGAAGCTGGCCAGGTGTAAGCAGCCTAGAGGGGCAGTGGCTCAGGTCAAGAGGGAAGCATGTGCCCTGTGTAACTGCTCAGCTCCAGGATGTTTTTGCCATATCAGACCTTCAGATTCTAGAAGAGAAGCCAAATAGCCAGATTTCAGTGTGGAACCTCCCCAATTTTCAAATGTTGGCAACACTTTCAGAATATTAGAAAACATTGCGCAGGTCACAAAAATAAATTTCAGGGCCACTCTGCAACTGCTATGTATTTTTTTTTTTACAATTCTTGATGTATCCTTTCAACCTTTGCTCCTGGAGCTTATCACTTTAATCTGTTTCCTGATTCCCAGATCCCAGGAGAAAACAGATTAACCCAGCTCATCTTTTCATCAGAGGTCACACAGGTCCCCAGCCAGCAAATAGGAGGGTCGGATTACCCAATTTAATCATTCCTACATGAAGGTGGGTCAGGATGGAGACCACAGAACAGTTGCCTAATGGACAAGGCAATTTCCCCAAAAGAGAGTATTAGTCCCATAAAACACAGCTGGTAAACTCTCATGTTTGGCCTCTGACTCACAGTCCTCCACCCCAACTCCTGCCACCAGCTAAGGTGATTTCAACATTCACTCATCCTTTCTTCATTCAATAGTATCCATTAAGCTGGTATGCTGGCCAGACACCATGGCAGGCTCTGAGGTTTACACGTGAGATAAAACAGTTTCCCCTCTAGAGCTCTGAGAGCTGCTCATACTCAAGACAGTCATTTCTCCTGGAGAAGGAAATAAGTGTTCTTATATCTTGCAGCCATACGGAATCTTGAAAAAGTAAGAGGAAAGGAAAGGTGAGGAAGGTTTTTCCAAGGACCTTTAGTCACAGGGAACTGTGTGGC